GATGTACGTTTTTTGGGGATGGTTAATGAAAGTGTTCCAAAACGCGACATTCATTTCTTGACGGCCTAGTATATATGTATGAAAGAGTGATAAAACAAAGGTTAACGACTAACAACTGAAATAACACTTTCATTCAGGTATATATACATTGTAATAGTCTGATGAAGGCAAATGATTTCTGGAAGACATGTGGATATAATTTCAGACATATATTGCAAGAGAGATTTTTATTGCAGAGTAGGTACAGGCCCTATAGAAGGCACACCTGGGACCACGTAGTGACTTCAATACTTACCACAACTTCAATGGGCAGTTGCTCCTGGAGCTATGTACACAACATTTCTATTTATTGGCAACACGTTATACCAAAACAAGAAAAGTTCCGTGTACACTTAGTACAGGTGGATAATATGGATAAAACATCACAGGCTCTCATTATGACACAATGATAATGATGGCAAAGCCATAATTAAAATACAGATGGATAAAAACCATAGGTCAGAAAACAAAACCAGGCAAAGAAGAAACCTCAGACCGCTGAAACAACCAACCTGATGATATTATAAAAAATAAATCACACATGTCAGTATAATCTAAGATAAATAGGCACCACCACAATCAGTTTGACGACAAAGGAGGAATGGGGTTGGTTGAAAACATTTTTACTAAATATTTTATAAACATTGTGGCATTAAGAAAACTGGAAGAGAAAAGATGAACGGACTTACCTAATGGAATGATTCATTTAAAGAAGTAGTAAAAAGAAAGAAAACCCTGTACAGACAGTTTATGAAAATCAACCACACAAGAAGACTGTTAAAAGTATTACACAGTATGAAAAAAGAAGACACCTTGAAAAGAATGCAGAGTATATCTGGCAGACAAATATGTATGCTTTCCAAGATAATTTTTCAAAAGTGTCAAGGCCACGAGATTATAAGATAAATTCCTTGACCTCACCACAATAATTAATGACAAATATAGCAACATTCTGACAATGAGGAACAGTATTTTCAAGAACTGCTGAGCCTCAGTGCTGAATAACAAACATAAGTATCTTCTGCCTCAAAATTTCCTGACTACACAGAACATCCAATACTAAAAAAGGAAAATAATAAATGCGATCGCAGCAGGAATAGTCAATATTACAATGGAAAACATTCAGGCTTGTGGTGATCCTGGGATAAGAGTGTCTAATTGTACAAATACGCAAAACTAAATACTAAAACTACAAATCAGTGAAACTCAGTTGGAATCTAGGAAGAACAGAGGATAAAACAATTCCATATTTCCTCTTACCAGCTGTGTAAGAAGACCATAGAGCCCAACCAATACTTTAATGTTTAAAAGAACTTATGAAAAAAAGTAATGAAGAATGTAACAATATAACAACCACACCATATCTCCTATATCCAGTGCCAAAGATACCTTAAGTGCAATACCAGGCTGGCTGAGATACAACAGACATAGTAATGGTCCTGTCACTGTTTATGTTGTCAATTACTTGAATAACATATTGTATTCATTGGCCACGAAAAGGTACTTGACTGGGACAAAGAAAGAAATTACAGTGTTCGAGAAAAATAACATTAAGGTTCAACCTTATACATAACATCAGAGAAATGCACATGGATAGTGAATGCATTTTAGAGCCAGAAGTGAGTTCTCAAACTGGTTCAACGTCATATCTGGAGTCAAAAAAGATGTGTGTTGTCCTCATTCCGATTTCTGGTCTACAAGGATAGAATTACCGAATATTATGACAGAAATGTCTGAGATTCCAACAATGGCACTGACTTCAGTCCTGACATATTACACTATAGAGCAAATGTAGCATTAAAACATGATTACATAGCCCTGGCTCCTTAACTAGATTTTGATTGGGCCTGTGAAGGAAAGAAGAGACGATACAACTCTTTCAAAGTAGCTCAAGAGATTCACCTGGTCTGATTCGAAGTCGTTAAAAACAAGACAGACCTGACAGATGTGAAGACAACAATTCAAAAGAATTCTTCGACGTGTAAGAAGTATGGTTTCAGAGGAATATAAATGATTCGCGGTTTTCACTTATTTATAGAGTTTGAGTACATTATATTCATATGATTCTGAATCCTCACCACATCACTAGCCCATGTTGCCTCATCTGATCGTGCACTAGCTGGTGGCCGTACATCTTGCCAATAGCCCTGCAGCATAGTTTTTATTCTTAATTATTCCATCATAAGCCTGACATGTCAAAAACACACCAGTACATCCTGTAGATTTTCCAAAAACCACTCAGTTTATAACTATGACAGTTTTCCAGTGCCTGTTTCAGCAGTCTAATCACAAAGAAATCCATAGATAGTGTCTGGATACTTTAACAGTATGTCTTCGTATGGAAAATCATGAATATCTTTTTCATTCTCCAGCTGCTTGAGGTATATGCCAGTTGAATGAATATGTTATGGAAGTAGCATCTGTACACGTGATTTGTGTCGTTTTTTTTTTCCAGACGGAGATCCTTCTTGATTACATTGCATACTATTGCTTGTGGCACATTGGATGGCATTTCTGTTACAAGACGTCATACTTTGTTTACCACAGCTGGGGTAAAAGTTGCTACAGGGCTCTTTTTGGATGGTCCTGGAGCTACAAGTCGGAGCCATAGTCCTTTGCATTTCAATGTCATTAAGTATAAGGGATAACATCATTTTGGAAATCCCCAATCCGAACACATCTTTATAACTGAGTATTTTGTGCAGCAAAGGTATTACCTACCCTTCCCATAAATGATCAGTTTTTGGTAGCATCACATTACACGAAATGCCAAGTAATGTCAAAATTTATTTCTGATATATGTTATTCCACTGTAACTTTATGTTAGCTTTGGTTGTTACATGAGTTGCTGATTTGCATTTTCACAGGTTTTCAACCTTAAACTAATGATGATTTGAGGAAAAGCTAAAGAAAATGGTAAAAAGGTTATGGAAAATGAGAAAGTACCACGTTTTCTTCCTCTAATATATTAGAAATGCAATGATTAGCTTATCTTGCGATTCTCAAAAAAAAATCAGATGTATACACTCCAAACCTGACTTTAAACAAATGAACAGAGTAAAAAATTATAGCTTGCATAATGAGATGCTTTTGTGGTGCAGCGATAAAGCGATATTCTAATGTTTGTACTAATGATAAATTTACCACTTATTTACAATTACTCATTGTTTGTGACTCCTGTAAGTATATCACTTGTAGGCTTCCATTGTTATTTTAAATACTGTATATCAGTACTATGATATATTTAGGGTTATTAATCTTATTGGGCCAAGCACGGCACAGAGAATAACACGTCCAACTAGGGAGTTGAGGATCCATGGTTTGTACTGCCAAAACAAAATCGTGTTCTGTATTTTGATTGCGTGGGTGTATTATAAAAGTGACGGTCAAATCGTACTATTCAGTTTGACAACAGCAGCACAAAAGTTGACAATAGATAGTTGGCTAGTTGCCCTCTCCTACTCTATTGTTTCAAAATTAGGGATGGCTAGCACAGATGGTCCTTGTGTAGCTTGTCACAAAATCCAAGGAATAAACAAACAAGATGAAGTTTATATCAGAATAATTTTTTCAATTTTGGAAGAAAAGCTTGCAATTATAATTATTACCCTATCAAAACTTTACATAATCTAATTCTTAATATCATATTCATAAATAGCTTTGTACGCTAATGTACTTCATAATAAAACATTTAACTTCACGCTTTTTGTACCAAGTCATTAAAATATCTTTCTTCCTCAAGAAAAAATGTGATATTTGAAAAGATAGATAAATAAAAATGCCACGGGCTCGGAATTAACAACTTATTTATGGTTATAAATACATTCTTAAAATATTGCACAGATAATGTAGCTTTAAATTAAAACCTGCGTTTTAGGAGAAAGTGAGGAGTGTAAAATCATGAACCGTAGATGAAACATTATTAATGTTTGTCCCCCGTTGGGACAGCAGTAAATCTACGGACTTACAATCCGCTAAAGTCCGGGGTTCGACACAGCACTTAGCCTAATGTGGCTTTGCTCTAGAATACACAAACAAACAAACTAACGTTTGTGCATTTTCATCACCAGTTTTGAAAGAAATATCTAACGTTGTTCTGTACTATTATCATTTTCTATACGATTATAATAAACTTTTTTGTATTATTATCACTCTAAGATTATTAAAACCATTTGTTTTTTCATTTCACCAGTGTCTGTAAGATTATCATCAAAAATTTGTTATTGTCATAAATGATTGTGGGATTATGAATAACGTTATCTGTGGTAACATCAGTGTCTGTAGGGTTATTATTAAGTGTGTGAAAATGTTCATTAATATTATCTGTATTACCTTCAGTGTCTAATATAACACAATTAACGTAAATAGCAGAAAAAGCACGACTCGGTAAAATAACAACATAGAGGGGTACTTATTGGAAGAACACTACTTGCTTTGTAGCCAGAAGTCTGTGGGTTCGGCCCCCCAGTGGCACAGCGGTATGTCTGCGGACTTACAACGCTAGAATCCAGGTTTCGATACTCGTGGTGGGCAGAGCACAGATAGCCCATTGTGCAGCTTTGTACTTAATTACAAACAAACAAACAAACTTTGGGTTCAACTTCTCATCGTAATGTCTCTAACACTTATCGGCTTCTTTACTTAAAATTTGTTATTAAATAACAATATGTCTATTTTTAAATTTTATTCAACAAACTGTTAAAATCTGACAATGAAGATTTTCAAGTTTAAATTAAAAAAAAGAAACAAAAACATCTTTATACGATAATGTTGTCCAAAAAAATACAGCATTTGTAAATCTCTAGAAATTCAGTTAGGAACTAATTTTGGGTATTGTTACGACAGCGGAAGTCACGTGACGCTGG